GTTCAAGATCTTTTATGCACATCTTCTGCATCATGCAGGCTATAACAGACCACGGAGCCTGGGTCTGCACAAACTCAGCCATTTAAAAGGGTAACCTAACCAACTGCAATGCCATAATACACAGAAGCACCCCAGTTTTAGGGCTGCAAATGGCAGTGCTGTTTGCCAGTCTCCATAGAGCTTCTATCAGCATAACTAGTGTTGCTCTGAGAACGTCATCATTCACTAAGCAAATCATATCTGTTAGTATTATACCACCTCCCAAAGAGGCATACACTTAAAAAATTCTAAATGCAGTCAAGAACGTATTTTTTTCCTCCCATATGGGAATGAGCTTTTCCCACATAGATATTTTTAATACTCCTCTTTGCTGAGCTTCAGAAACCAAATAAAAAGACAGGCTGATGAGTGAATGACTTTACAGTCATCTTAATGACATTTCTGTTGCTGACTGACAATGTATGACTGATGGCATTTTAGAAATACCTCAGCCTAGGCTGAGCTACAAGCCTGTAACAAACTGTTTCTCTTTAGGACACTTGAACAGCTTTTCCTGTGAAAAAGTGTCCATACACTGAAGTAATTAATAGTTGTTTTCATATTTTTCGTTACTTTTGTACTAGTATCACTGTATACCAACCTTCTGAATCAAAATCAGTAGAGATAAAAGTCTGCAGGATTGAGCAGAACACAACAGCAACAATTACTGTTATTATATATCACTGTTTCCCCTTTCCCTATCAAACAGGGAGATGACAGACTTTGAAAAGAAAAGCTGCAAACCTAACTTTTCCCAAGTAAAATGTCTATTATTTGTAACTTTTAACATGAGAAATATCATATTTAGTGCTTCCAGGAAATTGAAGGGTTTTTACATAATAACATCACTGTTTCAAATTTCTCATTTTGCACACTTCTTCCATTTTCATCATTCATACCAATCTCCATCTCTTTGTATTCTGCACAATCCCCACAGACAGAAGTATCAGAAAGCAGAGGAGGCGGGGAGGGAGGGGAGATGAAGTATATTTCTTCATGAAAGGACAAAACACTTGCCTTTTAGAGAAACTGTACTTAAAAAAAAAGAAGCAAAACTACAAATGCTTCAGTAAGCCTTCATGATTATTCAGCCATTTTTTATGTAACTTGGAAACTACTTCAAGGAGAAAACATGCAAAATTAATTTTAATTTTTTAAAAAAGCAGCAGGACCTAAAACTAATAGTATAATAGGAGATCATTATACCTTTGCGAGACAGCATTTTTGGGATAGAAAATGTGTAGAGATTCAGTTAAATAAAGCAGGTGGGTGAAATTTCAGAAGCAGTTGGCTTTACTGTGAGACAGCAATTTAGAACAATGGGTTGCCTGTCAACTCATGTTATTCAGTGGGGTTCAGAAAGTACCTAGTGCCGCCTATTATGAAGGCACTTTAGGCTGAGCTTTAACACCACATATCAGAAAAAGGAAGTCAGACAGTTACATGAGCTGTGAAGCACCACCTGTTCATATTAATACACAATCTAACAAATTAATACTTGGTCTTGAACATATTTCCCCCTTATTGTCCCTAGTTTGTCTGCCCAACTCTAACCACGTTCTGAATTGCAGTAAAATTTATACAACCCTGCCCAAAAATCTTTTGCAATCCCATTCACTCTCTCCAACGTGCAGCATGATGGCCTCAGTTACAGAAAGCCAGTAATGCCTTTTTGCATACTGAAAAAAAAAAAAAAAGAAGAAAATTGACATTCTTACAGCAGCACAACAACTGAGCATAAGTACTTATCTATCAATCGTGTCATGGAGTCATTTACATTGGAAAGGACCTTTAAGATCATCAACCATTAATCTAGCACTGTCAAATACGCCACCAAAAACCATGCCCCTAAGTGCCACAAGTCTTTTAAATACCTCCAGGGATGGTGATTCAACAGCCCTGGGCAGCCTGTTCCAGTGCTTAAGAAGCCTTTCGGTGAAGATTTTTTTCCTAATATCCAATCTAAACCTCTCCTGGTGTAACTTCAGGCTGTTTTCTCTTTCTCCTATTGCCTTTTCCTATCAGTTACTTGGGAAGAGACTGACCCCCACATCACTACAACCTCCTTTCAGGTATCTGTAGAGAATGATAGGGTCTCTCCTCAGCTTGCTTTTCACCAGACTAAAACACCACAGTTCCCTCAGCTGCTCCTTGCAAGACTTGTACTCTAGACTCTTCACCAGCTTCATTGCTCTTCTTTGGACACGCTCCAGAATCTCAAAGTTTTTCTTTGTAGTAGAGAGGCCCAAAACTGGACACAGTATTCAAGGTGCAGCCTCACCAGTACCAAGTACACCATGACAATCACTTCCCTAGTTCTGCTGGCCACTATTTCTGATACAAGCCAGGATGCTATTGACCTTCTTGGCCACCTGGGCACACTGCTGCTCAAATTCGGCCAGCTGTCAACCAACACCCCCACGTCCTTTTCTGCCAGGTAGCTTTTACAGCCACTCCTCCCCAAGCCTGTAGTGCTGCCTGGGGCTGTTGTGACCCAAAGGCAGGACCCGGCACTTGGCCTTGTTCGACCTCCTACCGTTGGCCTCAGCCCACCAATCCAGCCTTTCCAGATCCCTCTGTAGAGCCTTTCTACCCTCAAGCATGTCAGCCCTCCTGCCCAGTTTGGTGTCATCTGCAAACCTACTGAGGGTGCACTCGATCCCTTCGTCCAGATCATTGATAAAGATATTAGTCTGAAACAAGCAGAGAAGTAGAACTGCAACACAGCATTAAGATGAATGTATTAGCATGACAGTTTATGACAGTGTCTATTAAGTCCAGCAGCATTAATGCTTTCCATTTTTTTCCAGGAAATGTTTTCAAAAGCCATATAAATAACTGGTCTTTGTTTTTTCCTCAGTTTTCTAGAAGTGGAGGATGAATGCAGCTGGAATGTCTCTACTGAGCTGATCTCAATCCAGGAACAAGCCTCTTGTCTATACCTCCCATTCTCACCGTGTAATGTACTACACAAGGTACACGAGCTTCTGTAGTGCAAACCCTGGGAGGGTGCATCAGTGCCCTTTTCTGGAGTTACCCACTGGCAAATCCCATGTTTAAAAGTAGGCGACCAACATATCTAGTACAGTGTTTGTGGTGTCCTCTGCCACCCTCTCAATTCTAACTAAATACAGGGGTTGTGGGGGTGCCCTTCCAGAGAAGGGCAACGAAGCTGGTGAGGGGTCTGGAGAATAAGTCTTATGAGGAGAGGCTGAGGGAGCTGGGGTTGATCAGCCTGGAGAAAAGGAGGCTGAGGGGAGACCTTATTGCTCTCTACAACTACCTGAAAGGAGGGTGTAGAGAGATGGGGGTCGGTCTCTGTTCCCAAGTCACAGGCGACAGGACAAGAGGAAATGGCCTCAAGTTGCGTCAGGGGAGGTTCAGGTTGGATATTAGGAAAAATTTCTTCACTGAAAGGGTTATCGAGCATTGGAATGGGCTGCCCAGGGAAGTGGTTGAGGCACCATCTCTGGAAATATTCAAAAGACGAACAAGTTGACATGGTGCTCAGGAATATGGTTTAGGATTGTGGATTTTTGGTTTTGGTTTGTTTTTTTTCCCCCCTCAGAGTTAGGTTGGTGGTTGGACTAGATGATCTTAAGGGTCCCTTCCAACCTAGGCCATTCTGTGATTCTGTATTCCTCAAATTTCTGGTTTTGTTCTAAGAAGGAGACTCTAAAAGCATCCAGGGATCTGGTCATGTGCCTGTCCAGAGCAGGCTGCCAGAATATGGAACTAATTAAATAGTGATTCTGAATTAGTGAATGTGATATATAGATATGAATGCACAAACAAAAGGGCATGTGCATGTAATGCAAACAGACAGGAACATTTATTTAAATTTTAGAAATTTCTCACTCAGCATGAATTATACAAACATGGAAATGTAACTTTCTAACTTTTACTTGCTTTGTCAACAGAGCTTTTTTTTTTTTTTAAACCTAAGGGAGTAGTGCATTTACACTGAAGCATATCTACAAAACACATTAGTTTAATTAAACACTGTATCGAATCATACCAGCCTAACACATTTTGGACTAGTATTAAATAAAATCCTTAAACATCAATACTGCCAGCAACTATTCACAGTTGACAAATTGAAATTAGCCAGCCATATCAGCCTTTCTACTCAGAAACACAGATTTTTAATACACCTTATCAGCTTCAAAAGTGTAGAAAGATGAAGACATTTGCCATAGCAATTGCTCACTTCTCTCTTCACTTATATATGAGCAAAAATTGACACATTCAAGAAAAACCAAACACCCAAAACTTGATTAATATGAATTGATAGGATTCTGAAAACATGTGCTCCTATACATAATTTCTTTTGCCAACCTTGTTATAGTTCATGTATCAAATTTAGTCACTACAAGTGTAATTCCATGCAATACAGAGGATACTGGAAATGGATAAAAATGGGTTCTTTCTTTTATGTACTTCCATTGCATAAAGCAAAACCCCCACAATTTATACTTGAAGTTCAAATAAACACTTCATTACACAAATTATATCTGTGCAGAGTGGGATTAACGCCTTTTAGTATTTATATGCTATGATCTACATATAATCAGAATCTGACAACTTAAAACACTCTTCCACAGTCTAGTCAGAGATCTTTCTTTCCATCTACTTTAACTGTTGCTAATCATGAAGTATAAGCATTCCAGAAAGCCCTTCTGTCTTCAAAAATTATCGTATCCCAAATACGAGAAAAAGGTTTACCTATCATCAAAATCAGTGAAAAGAAAAGAAGAATTTTAATAGATTGATTCACTATGGATATAATGGTATTTACTACGGCATTGACTTACATACTTCTTGAATTTTATTACAAGTGACAAAGAGCACCTAGCAATAGCTATTTCTAAATATTAAAGAACAATTCTTACGTCCTGCTTCCCTAACACTGTAGCAAAAGTCTTTTTGCAGCACAGCAGTCATGAATATTATTTTATTACCTGAAGTCCAACATTGTCTGCTTGTCCTCCTTTAACCAGCTGGGAAATGAAGAGGCCGCAGCTAAATTCCACTCCACCTCTCACACTTATTCCAAGTCCTTCAGGATGCAACCGATCCAATCGCACCTCTTTCAGCTTTCTGCAAAAATGGAAGATACTCAGCTATTTAGCTGCATAACGCTTTGTAGCAATAATGTTTAAAATGAAAGTTACACATATTTTTTTTTTTCTATAACATTTAGGCATGAAAAAAAGCAAGCTGACTGAAGTTTGAATGAATGTGTATGAGTTAAAGCCATCGAGTATTTTTCATAAGAAAAGACATCTGCAACCATTGAAGCTGTCTGCTTCTAAAGGCTTAGAACTATAAGAATTTTTTTATTAATAAATGCAGGAAAAATAAAATGATTGTTTCAACTTGAAAGCATTGGTTTTGACACCCTTACATTGTCTTTGCTAGATTAAACCATTTGCAAACAATTTCAGGTAGCTCAAAACTATACTTCTAGCAAACATAGCAAAAGTCAAAAAAAAAAAATATGCCCAGCTCTACACAAGTGACTGGTATATTACTTGGAATTTGTCTGAAAACTCAGTACTTCCTGTTTATATTTAAATTAGCTGCATTCTTCTGCATTCTCTCACCGTGATCTTTTCGGCGTAAGCTGATCGTATTCCACCTGGTGTTTTAGTGGGATAAGTGGACGGATAGCATCAAATAGAGGCAATCTGCTTGGTTCATTAATCACGAGTTTTAAGTCCCCCACAAGCACTGGGAGATTCATAGATCTACAGAAACACAGTGAGAAAACAAGCACAGGTTATCAATGCACTAACACAAAGCATCATTTAATAACTTGCTGTACTTGTAGCGTCAATGTTTGCATGTCCCTTCAACCTGCTAAAAAAGTTATTTATGCAGATATTGGTTTAATCAAAGGAAAATAGCCACAAAGAAAGTAAGCCTTCTGTAAACAGAAAGGAATATCAAATACTTCCTTCAATATCATAAAATTTCCTATATATTGCCTTTAGCTTTTAAGGTCACAGACATCACTTTTACAGATGACATCTTTAATTTCAGAGTCCCAAAAAGATTTATGGAACTGCCTTTCCTTACTAGTCAGCAATCCTTTTAAGTGAACTTAGGCTAGAGGATCCTTTCTCTCCTAAACTTAGGGGACTGACAAATTGTTTTGATCCAGGATAAAAACCCTCACAATGCCCAGTAGCTAGAGCAAAGAGTTATTGTAGAGTTTAATTTTTTTTTTCAAATCAAAATTGAAGAGCCATCAAACAATTAAAAAAAATCTACAGAAATTAAACTGGTGTGAACAACTGCTTTATGAGAGCTATACAAAGTACTCTCCTTGATATTCTCAGCACTGACATAGCCATAGGTTTAGAAAATTTACTTCATCATCTAGCTGCAAGAGGGAAGAACAGCTCTCCAAGGCTCAGTGGAGCTATTCCTATACAACATCCAGTTAAACTTAGTCTATCATTTGCTCTTTTCTATCTTGTAATTTACATTTCCTGGCATACAATACTTCTGATTCATATGTCCTGAAAACACACATCAGGAATGCATATTACATAGGATTAGAGGTCAAATAATTTCGGAAATGCTGTTCACAGTGAAGCAGACATTAAATGTTAACTCCCACAGCAACTGCACATATTGTTGCCCTGCAGTACTTTATAATGTATTCTGAAAAGGTCACACAACATCAACACATGTTCATAGTGATACTGGAAATTTTGCTTGAGTCATTGCAATTTCGGAAACTGAAGGAAATTTACTATGTGCATTGTTAATTTTGTAACTGCAAGAAGATTTTAAATAATTAAGAGCTACTGAATCAATCAGCTTTCTAAACAAGAGGCTTTATGAATGGAGAAGCAATTAGACAGACCTGAGTGAAACTGAATCAGATATGCAGCTGAATACACCCATAACTATAGCTCAGAGCAAACATCAGATGGAAACGTCTACATTTCACTCAGTTAAGGTATGAATGGAAACAATGTCTATCAGAGGCACTTGTCTATGATGAGTGGAAAATACATTCTCATCTTCTTTGAAAAACAATGGATCAGATGCTGATCTCATTTGCAATGACATAGGTTCTAAGCAACTGTGGTTTAAATCAGTTCAGCAAAAGGATTGGTAATAAGACTATCACTTTACATTTTTTAACTCATTATGTTGTAATAAGCCAGAGTTGTTAAACATGCCAGATTCCCAGACTATTTTTTTTCAGCTTTCAGATAACAGCTGCAAATAAATTTTTATCTGAATAGTTAGCAAAAATCTTTGAAAAGCAAACTCAATGAAAACCTCTGTTGCAAACAAATAAGCATTATCTGGAAATAGTAATGAACTTGATTAATACTCTCTTCCTTTTCCTAAGAACAGTTTTATTGTCCAAGTGCTTCCCTCCCCCGTATGAATCCACCAAATTCTTTTACAAAACTGCCAAGTCATAAAACCAAAGTAACTTTACACGTGATTACAGACATGCTCCTTCCTTGTCTGCAGGCTACACTATAAAAGCATAAGATTTCATTAAACAGAACAGAAACTATTGCTTCAACTACTTTCCTAGTAGCATAGAGAAAGATCACTTAAAATGTTGAATACTCACTGCTTACATTTAAAAACACTAGTAAAATTCTACACAAATATAGATAAAGCTAGATCTTACTGGTGGTACATCCGCAGCACATCATAAAGGTAATCCTTCTCTGCTTCATTGTCAATTAGTAGATTAACCTGAAAACCCAAGAATATTATTGTAAATTTCTGACTAAATAGCCATAGATGTTGAACATACAAGACTTTCACAAATCCTTAAGCCATAGAGCAAAGATTTCAATAGGGAAAGATTTTAATTTTTTTTAAAGATAAACACTTTTTTGCAATAGAGTATTATCTCACAATTTGTAACTTATAACAAGACTTTCTAAAATTAGCATTAGAACAATTGATGAAGATGGTAAATATTGATATATTCTGTATGCTAGACTTCCCGTCAGCAGTAATATATTACAATAACATATTTGCCTTACCTGATAATCACTGTACTGTTGAATAAATGTTTTCAGAAACCTTTTTGGCCATTCATTAATATAGCACATGCTGTCACAGATAAAACCGCCACACTAAGATGATTATAATCTATGTTCTGTCGTCCAAACCACAGATTTCAGGATCTGACTTATAACATTATGCAAACCGGTACGCCACCATTCCTCTTTGCTCCAGCTCTTAACTGATAGAACTTGCTAGTTATTCTTTCCTCCCCCACTAATAGTACGTTTACTTAAACCAGTGTCATATTACTATGGCCGCTCTTGGATAACTACAGTAAAATAAAGCAAAAAGAAAACCCAGAATTCTCATATGAGGAGTTCAATTTATATTTAGTGACAGTGAGACCCCTGCTGATATTACTTTCAGTGAGAGGTCACATCACATTAGTTTTACATTTGGACGAGCTTAATGTTTGGGAAAACAATTTACATCTGACCTAAAGGCTAATATTACTGTGACTTGAAGTCTGAGGACCAATTTGCATACTTAAAGAAAGGCCTTTTCTTTCTAGGTTTGCAATGGCTTGCATTATATTCTGAACTAAACACATGCTTCATATTCCCTTTGTCCCTTTCGGCTCCCTAAAGCCAGCAAGAATCCACATACAGATGGTTTTCTATTACTTGACTCCTCTGGAAAAAAGGCACTTTCAAAACACCTGAAGGCAAAAAGCTACATGCAGGACAAGATTGCTTGATAGTAATACTAATGAGTTAACCAATTTATTCACTGTGAATTTCAAAACATAGAAGAAAAAGTCTGCCTTAAAAGGAAATAAAATGGTCGCAGTCAAAACATCAATACTGTACACAGACTCAAAACTCAAGGTGATACATCCGTTTTTCCCCTCTCCACAGGAAAAACAACATAAAAACGTTCCTAGTGCTAGCTAAGGTACTGTATAAGCAGTGTCTCATGAAGAACATTAGACATTTAAGCAAATAAACCCTACACAGCAAAACCATCACCATCTTTCCTCCTGATCGGGAAAGCAACCAGTAACAACATCACATTTTCCTCCTGATATGCTAGCTGATATTCCTATCTTCTACTCCATTTTAAGAACTATAGGGCCATAAATAATTCTACCACTTCTCACAAAACATTCAGTCTTCCTGTTTGATTCCTGCAGTTCTTACCCTGAACCACCAACTTCCTTGTTCTCTGATAAAAACAAACACCCAAGAGACTTCTTACATATTCAGAATGATACAGCTAGGTTAATCTTCTTGGGGCATCTCTCTAATTATGTCATTCTTCTCCTACTGCCTTCTATTCCACCAATTATCACTTCATTGTAAGCACCTGCATGTCTTACCATTTCCCTAATTCATTAATTCCTTGGGACAGTCTTACTTTAAACATACACTTTATGTAGGCTCATCATCAGCTTCTAAGAACTGAGTCTAATTTCATAAATCCTAAAAGATCATCTCCCCACAGAAAGGAAAAGAAAAAATAAATGAGTGGTGACATGGTATAACTTGGATCAGAGAATTATTTTAGTATCTAATTATTGAGAAAATAACTGTGGAGGTATGGGATAGATGATTTCACAGCTTTTAAACCAAGACTATTTAAAAAAAAACATCTGGACAGAATCCTGGGCAACCTGCTCTAGCTGGCCCTGTTTGAGCAGGTGGGTTGGAGCAGATGACCTCCAGAGGTTGCTTCCAACCTCAACCTTTCTGTGATTATTTAAGGGTATCTTCATAGTAGTTGTACAAGTTACAATTCTAGAGGAAAAATAAAGAGTTGCTTATGCTCTGTGTCTCACTATATAAATTGCACTGTTTTTCATGGAAATTAATAAGGAGTCACCACAAAAACTGCACCTACATACAAAAGAAAAATAAAATCTGGCAACAAATCTCTATAAATTCATTCAGCAAAACAGAAGTTGTGAGGAAAAAAAGCAGACTACAGTAATGCACTACTGTAGCATGAGCTCAGTTGCTCAGCTTTCGAAGAATAATATTAAGTTCTATTTAAGTTACAAAGCCTTTGAAAAACTATTGAAGGAAATGGAAGAACTGGCCAATATATTTGCATATATTGTATGTTTGGTATTGCTGCTTAGTTGATAGGAAGAACTGATTAAAATTACTAAGAAAAAAAATAAAATGAAACCGGCAAAAAATAGAGAAAACTCAGATCCTGTGGCTCAGCATTTTCACCATTTTAACAGAGAAAAAGTAAGTATCCAAGACATTAAAATTGCCACAGAAGCCACTAGAAGCAGGATGATACAAAATAATTTAAAGACTTACTGCAGTATCCTTTTACTCAGATAAAGTTTTCACTCAGACATGCATCCTACTTGTTTGAACCAACAAACACTGACAATAAATCTTACGTCATCGGGGTGGGACTAGCATGATTTATGAATTCCAGTAGCAATGAAAGGGAAAAGGTTTAAAGTTCAAGACAGTAACCATCCAGAGTCTTTATACATACGTTGCACAATCCATTGTCAAGTTATACAGTAATAGGCAGCAAGCAGAAACAACTTGCTAGACAGCTACAGTCATCACTATGGAGTATCCAGGTCCTTAACATTTTTGAACTTCAGTTTGTTACATAGATGGGATTTTTGCCACCCTTCTACTTCATTATAACAACTCTTTAGTTAATGGCTTTATTACCAGGTGATACTTCTACAAAACACGACACTACTTTGGTTGGGTGGTTTTGGTCAGCTAGAGAACGGAGTTTCTTCAATCTCCCCCGCAAAAAAAACAACCCAAAGGACCACAAAACAGCACTGAAAACTTCAGTCTGAGAGAGTCTTAAACGGCTATGAGAAACATCTTTTAGATGTGTAAAACATTTTCTCCTTCCTTTCCTTAAACAGGGCTTACTTTGTTAACACAATTCAGAACTCTGCTGAACACTTATTTAACTGGGTAAATGGCAAAATGAGATGCCGGGCTGAGGGAGTCGCTCATGCATCAAGTGTATGTGCACATGGCTGCACACGCACAGCCCCGCTCGTTCGGATTAAGGTGGAACCAAAGCCTTGTGAGGAGCGTCTGGCAGCGCCCAGGGCTGCGGCGGTGAACCCTGGGCCTGGACTTCAGCACCTGCACTTCTGCCTTCCCTGCACTGGACCGGCTACAACATTTTTCACATGATATTAAAATAAAGTTAGTCGTATCAAGCCCCGAAAGAGCTCATGCACTGAGGAATGTTCTCTCTCTCCTCAAGCCCCGAAAGAGCTCATGCACTGAGGAACGTTCTCTCTCTCCTCTCCCTCCCTCCCTCCCTTTTTAAGGGTCTGAAGTTTTACAACCACCCTCCCACAGGACGCTGTCACCCGCTTCTCCCTTCCCCGTCGCTCGCTCCGGGACACAGTCGGCAGCGCTCGGGCAGGGCCGGCAGCGCTCGGGCAGGGCTCGGACAGGGCCGGCAGGGCTCGGGCAGGGCTCGGGCAGGG